AGCATAAAAAACAGCATAAAAGGCAACATTAAACATAAAGCATGAGATCATTTGATGTAAAGAATCCTTTATGTCACTTTTATCAGCATTTGTTTGATGTTTGCTGTTGTAATTTTGTCGATGGATTTCCTCCTTTGTGCCTTTTTTTCACATGATACATGCTTAATAATTTTAACTGCAAATATTTTTTCAGCTCTTCTCATTCATTCATGATTGTTTGTTTGCATGTATGCATGTATGGAGCTTGTGGGAAATGATTGAAATGTGCAGGAATTAATGTAGTTGAGTTGGTTTCTGGGTTAGGTTTTTGATGATGTGGCTTTCATTCTGGATTGTCAGGATGTTTATTGATCTTTTGTTGGAACTGCTCATTTGAAGCAAAAATGCGCTCTAGTCAACAATGCCTCTTAATTTCCTTTCATTCCACATTAAACAGCAAAAGATTAAAAATTAAAAACAGCAAAAGAAAAAAATGCTAGAAAATTAAAACAAAAAGGCAGGAAAGTTTTTACGACAGGAACGAAAGTTGCCACATAATTTCGCACACCAACCGTCACACACACATTATTAATAGCAATAAAACAGGCACTATAAAGTGCGTAGAATCGTAAAACGTGACCAAATGAGTATTTCATTTCCACATTTTATGGCCACTTCATATTTTCATATTCACATCATCAGACGCCACATGAAGTCCTCCTTTTTAATTATGAATGACATTTGTGCATTGCAACTTTATGCGAATTTATTTGTGGACCACACTGAGACGACAAAAAGGGAGAGGATGAAGGTAATTTTCATGAAAATTGTTTTGTGAATTAATGAAAATGAATCAGGAACTAACACAACTGTGGACATAGATGTGTGAGGTTGAACATAGAAAAGGCATCAAGCATGCTGGAACTGAGAATGAACAATTTTGTGATTGATATAATTAATAGATCTGCCAGTGACTTTTATTCTGTTGGACGATTTTTAAGAAAGTTTTAAAATAATTTCGATAAAATTCATGCACAGTATTTTATTCAAAAGGTAAGCAAGCAGCATAATTAAAATACCCGCAAGGACTACTTCATCAACTCTCAACCAACAAACCTTTTTTATGTGTCTCCACACATTCCTGATAATTGTCTCTGTCCATTTCCACAAAAAAGTATTTTTAATGCCGTAAAACTTTTCATTCCGTCTACAAAAAGAGCCTTTTATACTTCAGGGTGAGGCACGGGAGCAATAACTGTAACAAAGATTAGATGAGGTCACTCCAGTGGTTTTTTATTACCATATGCGGATATCGGACAATAGAGAAATGGTGTAATAATTATTTTATGGCTATTTATTGCATCTTCTACACACCTTCAGGTCATTGTTTTGTAATAATCGAAACATGTTTCCATTCAAGGACATTATTTATGCGGTGGAGATTTAAAGGAGCATTTTGGCTAAGAGAATATTTGACTAGAAATAGCATTTTCCTAGCACATGAAGCAATAGTCTGGCAAATTTGTTCCTTCTCAATCTCCAATGAGAATTTTTATCAAGTTAATAAATTTTCACCCGAAACAGCACTCGAGAAAGTGCAATTTATGTACAAGAATGCCAAAAACAGGAAAGAGGAAAACTTTTCAACACATAATGAACAAGTGACTGCACAAATTTGTAGCTATTGGCCTTTGCATCTACCCTCAAATAACCCCCCAACTTCATTTCATCGTGTGAAATTTATTACAAAATGATTGGTTTTCTTTTTTGCAAGCAGTGCCTTAAATTATTTATGTCTTTCAGGTGTTAAAGGAACAAGATATTGCTGATGATGATGGAGAAACTTTTTCATGCACAATCTTGTAGTTTTACTCAAGTTGAATTAAATTTTTAATGTTGCTGCTACTTCTTATTGCATTGATACCTTTACTTTGCTCTCGATACATTTTTAACGAGATGGATTGAAAGTTTATTGAATGGATAAAAAGGTGAGGAAATATCAAGGCTTGGAAACTATTTCAAATATCCCAAATATCCCAAAATCCCAAAAAATATCCAAAATAATTGCTGAGCCTTTTTGCAATAAAATTAAGATATATAATCGAATTCCAAGATTAGATGTCCAATACACTAGGGATTCGTTGAGATATCGTGTATACAGTCTCAAGGATTGTTTTGGATATTTTTGGGATATTTGGGAATGTTTCCAAGTCTTGGACCAATTGTGAAAATAAAGTTTTTTTAATTTTTTTCTCTGACTTTCGACTTGCTGGGTCGTTGAGTGTTCGATGGGTTTGAATGATTCTGTTGATGGAACAGTTGTAGAGCAGGGAGAGAGCCAGGTCAAAACTATGCATTATAATTGCATGGAATCGTGTCATTATCAGAGCTCAAAGTTGACTCGAGCCACAACATGATTTTGGATTTATTGGACCCCCCATAAAAGGTATAGTCAGAAAAATAAGGAGCTTACTCTCGGGATTGATCCTTAAAAATCCCAAAAAAAACCTAGCACTTCCTATGATCAAATTATAATCCCTACTATAGTTGATATTTAATAGACAGATTTCAGGTGGCATTCAAAGTTTGAAGACAGCTAGTGCTCAGATATTTATTGGATTTTCGCCCAAGATTTGTGCTCGCCTTGGTCAGGAAACTTAAGAAAAATCCTCAAACATTTTAAAATCCCAAAAGTACCCACCAAACCTTCAAAAACCCTCACACAACAAAAAATCGCATTAATCATTCATTGACATTTTACAAACTTTTGCACTCCTTCCAATCACCTTTTTACACCTCAGCCACTTATTCTTTCCAATTTTGAACGGTACTACAAAAATCCATTTACAATTTCATTTCACATGTACATCATCGCCAACAATAACGAACCACGAAGAAATACAATTTTTATTTTTTCATGCATACCTTGATGAAGGCACTTTATGCATTATGTTTATGTACGGTAGAATGATGCATGAAAAGCAGTTACACGGAAAATATAAAAATTGCATTTTGTAGTTTTTTTTTCTTGCTCTCCGGAAATGTTAATGGAAAGTAAGTACATGAACCAACATTTGTATTGAAATGCGATAATTTTTATTCCCCGACATGTGAGTTTTTCTTTCTTTTCGGAAGCTGCTGTATTTAGGGGGATCAATTAGATGGGAATTGTTTAATTTTTAGAATAAAAATTGTTGGAATTTAGAAATTTTTGTCTTGGTTTTGGGCTAGGTCTGGGACTTTGAGGGGATAAGTCTGAATTTTGAGGGGCTTGGTCTGGATTTTAAGAGGCTTAGTCTGGATTTTGGGAGACCTGGTCTGGATTTTGAAGGTCCTAGTCTGAATTTTGAAGGGTTTAGTCTGGATTTTGAGGGGCAAAGTCTGAATTTTGAGGGGCTTGGTCTGGATTTTGAGAGGCTTCGTCTGTATTTTGAGAGGCTTTGCCTGGATTTTAAAGGGATAAGTCTGTATTTTGAGGGACTTAGTCTGCATTTTGAGGGGTTTAGTCTGGATTTTGAGGGGCTTAGTCTGGATTTTGAGGGGATAAGTCTGCATTTTGAGGGGATAAGTCTGCATTTTGAGGGGCTTAGCATGGATTTTGAGGGGATAAGTCTGCATTTTGAGGGGCTAAGTCTGAATTTTGAGGGGCTTAGTCTGAATTTTGAGGGGATAAGTCTGCATATTGAGGGGCTTAGTCTGAATTTTGAGGGGCAAAGTCTGAATTTTGAGGGGCTTAGTCTGAATTTTGAGGGTATAAGTCTGCATTTTAAGGGGCTTAGTCTGGATTTTGAGGGGCAAAGTCTGAATTTTGAGGGGCTTAGTCTGAATTTTGAGGGGATAAGTCTGGATTTTGGGGGTCTTAGTCTGGATTTTTAAGGGCTAAGTCTGTATTTTGAGGGACTTAGTCTGGAATTTGAGGGGCTTAGTCTGGATTTTGGGAGACCTGGTCTGGATTTTGAAGGTCTAGTCTGGATTTTGAGGGGCAAAGTCTGGATTTTGAGGGGCCATAGTCTTTGGTGCCCAAGTTTTGGAGATTCCCCTAACAGACAAAGAGCATGCTCACAATGAGTATGCTCACTTAAATGTCTGTTAGGGTTCATGCATGAATTTTGGAAAAAACATCCTGAACTTGAGTGTCAAAGCCATTTTCTCGATTAAGAATTTTTATTTTAAATCTTCAGCACATTCTAAGAATAAATCCCAACCCCTACCCCACCAAAAGTGTCTGATTACATCCCCAGATCCACTCACACACGACAAATGTTTTTCCATTCACTAACGTTTGTCGATTTATTGAGAAAATAAGCGGGGTGAGATGGAAATAAAATTTTTTTACCGTGTAGGAAGAAGCAGCGATGGATTTCACTTAAATTGTTACACAATTTTTCCATTTACAGGATTTATTTCCTTTTTTTTAATGCCAATTTTATTGTTTTTCCTGCAATCGTTGACAATCTCAACTTCCATGTCTGCTGATTGCTCTCTTAAATATTCTCCATTTTCTTGCCTCGTTAACAACTTTAAATCGTATAAAAAATTGAATGCAATTAAATGGGATTTTAAGCCTGCAATTATTTCCTCCTTTAGACGATGATTGAAGAAGAAAATTACGAGGATATACTTGAGGATGATTTCGAGATGAGATGATGAGTTTGCTGTGCTGAAACGTGAACATTGCTGCAGGCGAGAAGTACAATTTTTAGTGTCTGTAAAGTGGATGCTTAAAAATGTTGTTCTCATTTTGTGGAAGTTTTGGATGATTATTGGATGTTGTTTTACTAGTGTCGTGTGGATGTTAAGTGAAAATTCATTAGTTTTGTCACATATAAGCCATAAAAATTGGAACTACAGCTCCAAATTCATGAAAAAATCTTAAAAATGCGCTTTAAAGACTTCACGTGACTTCCTTACTTGATTCTTCAAGTACCCGAAAGTATCTCATGTCCAACAAATTTACCATACAGTATCATGTACTACAAGAACTTCTCATTGCACGTTGGTTGCTTTATAATGTCACGGTCGAATGAATTTATGAATAAATTTTTATCCTGAATACAAAAGAATTTCAAACATATGTTGCAAGCCTGACCAGCTGTTTTATACAGCACAAAAAAAAATTGCTGTTATGGAAACATAAAAAATAACACAAAAAAAGTATAGGAGTCGCCGGTTGTTTAATGTTTTGTGATGTGAAATTTTTATTCGTAAAAAATGAAAAAATAACATTGTGACTTAACATGTGAACTAAGCCTGACTGAATAGTAAATTGAAAACATTTGTAGAACAACCTGAGAGACAAAAACATTTCAATTTCAAGCATCAAGACAGAAAAAAAGGATCATAGTCAGCATTTGTGAAAAAAAATTCATCTCAATTTAAATTCTGGATGTTTTTTTGTTGTCAGCTTGCTTGTTGTTTTTATCGAGAATACAAGATATTGATATTGAAAGTCAGAATGGAAGTAAAGAATTCAGACGATTTTGAATTCAAGGTGAGTTTTACAATAAAATTAAATAATTTTTTGAGAATGGCATTTGGATGTGAATATTTGGGAATATATTTTCCGGAGTAGTAATTTCCAGAGTAGATCAGTTTTCTGACCCCCCCCCCCCTCACCCCTTGTTACAATATGTTACAACTCACCCCCCCCCTGAACGTTCATAATTTATTTTATCATTAATTAATTTTATCATTTATGGAACGTTACATACTTCTTGACACCCCCCCCCCCCCCCCTTATGTTACATTTTGTTACAAATTTTCAAATCTTCCCCCCCCCCCTCCCCCCTAAAATGCGAACGTAATAAGTGAACGGCCCCTTATACAAATTCGTGTGTTCGATTCTCATCAAGCAGCAACCTTTTTTCATCCAGCCTGATCCTCAAACGTTCACAAATTCCAACCAAAAGTCACCGCAAAGGACCTCCAAAAGATCCCAAATTCCTTTACCTTTCAAATAATTAAATTGTCCATCATGTCTCCTTCCATTTTTAGTACATACCAAAGTCATCATTTGAACGAGTCATTCGTCGAATTGAAGACAATAAGAAGTCAACAAATAAGGATGGAATGTGGGGAAACTTCTACTCAGTCTCATCGGAACATGACAATTCAGAGAAAGTTAAGGCATGTTATGATATAGAACCGCGTCAAAGGGATATGCGATTCAATGATGTCTATAATGTACTTAAATCTGATAAGCCAATGCTGCCATCAGAAGCTGCTCCTTTGTTCGGACCTTCAAAGAAGTTGAATGATGTGAATAGGGAGAAGTATGGTATGTATTGTTGGGCTTTGGTAGCTGTTTGTTGGAGAGTGAAAAGAGGCAGTCTAGAGAGCTGCATCCTAATGTTTCAAGCAGTGTTTTTGGCATGATTGAAGTGTTTACGAGGCGTCAGTTTATAATTGTGATTTATGTGCCGTTTAATCTACAAGATGAGCACGTCACAACTTTAACATACTCTCAAACTCAAGTCCAAGCTTCAGGCGCATAGTCAGGAGGGTCTTGTCCCTCCTTAAACGTTTTGAACCGCAGCGAGAGCACGGCCTAAAACGCTTAAGAGGGTGACAAGACTCTCCTGGCTACGCGCCTGGCGAAGCTTCCTACATAATAAATAATCAATTCCTCAATATTTATCACATCTCAAACCTTTCACACATCCTTCCATTAAAGCCATAAAAAATTCACAATCATCACAACATGAAGTCCATTAAAACTTAATGTAAAAAGCAAACTTTTCATCCTTTTTCAGATAATCAGCCATCGATTCGCAACCAGACAACCCAACAAGTAATTTCAACAAAATTCAAGCATCTTCAGCGCAATAAAAGTGAAGAAAACTCATCGAATCCAAGTATTCACATCGTTGAAGTTGTGAATGTTGCTGACGTTCGAGCATCTGATAGAAGTAGTAAAATTCAAGTAACTGAGCAAATTACACCTAACGACAATGTCAATGATGAGAAAAGTGGCATCATTGAATGCTCATCTGATAATGACGAGACTCTCTATTCAGAAATTCTCGACTTTTGCAATGAAATTGAATTTTTAAATGAGAACGATGGCAGCAGCGTGAGTCATCATGGAAATGAGATGAAGAAAAAATGCTCGAGTGCCAAGTCGGATGGGGTAGAGACAGAAAATAAGAAAGTAAGAGCAGAAAAAAAATGTGATAACTTGAAAATTGATGATTGAGCAAAAGAGACATGAAAATTGTACTATGTAGATGCATTGATGTGTACATCTGATGCCATAAATTGATTTTTTATGCTGAGCTAGATTTCTTGAGGGATTGTGTTATTTTGACATTGAGTTGGCTCGTTAGACATTGGATGAGCCCCTGAGACAGTGCTGTTTGAATTATGTTCTGTGACACAATAATTTAAACTTATTGCAAGTTGCTAGATGTGTGGCTGTCCTGAACGGGACTCTGGCATTAGATTTTAATCCAGCATTATGCTAGAGTTCGATTAACCGACTTGTGCTATTCGGGTATTATACTAAGGATAAGTTGCCCATGTGTAGCCCTAGAATTTGATCTCAAATGAATGATTTAGTTCCTAAGAGTCAGTCCTAAGGTCAGTGGTTCTTAAATGATGATGATGGGTTCCTATTGCTCCACTATGAAGCGTAGTACTTCCACAAAGCATTTGAATCACACTCGATTCTGGGCCAAAGCTGCTATTTCCTGCAGCTTCTTGTTCTGTTGTTCCACCTCCCGTTCAACAGTTATACGCCAAGTAATTCTCCGTCGGCCCCTAGTCCTATTTCCTTGGACATTCCAGAAGATCGCTTGGCTTGCGATTTCTGTATGGTCTTTCCTTAATGTATGGCCAATCCAGTTCCATTTCCATTATTATTTATTTCTTCATTTTATCTTTTTTAAGGAAAGCCATTTGAAATGTATTTGCACAATTTCATCCAGCATAAAAACCTTAATCAACTTATTATTACATATATATGGTACAATAGATTCTGTTCTAATTTGAATCGCAGTGCCTCCAGCTGAAAGGCTGGGCCCTTCACACATTATTATTATTATTATTACATATATTGTTTGAGATTCAATGATATAGGAATATCGTTAAAGAACTTAGAATAACGAGATATATTCATTTAAAACATTAACGGTTAAAATAAATTCAACTTTTTGAGATTTTGTCGTACTAGACTTTTGGTGTGTGTCTTGGCTATAAAAAATTCAAACAGATAAATTGTAAACGGTGATAACTTTAACGAACTGAATTAAAATAACTAATGAATATGAGAAAATTGAGCACATACAAATATCAACAACTTAAAACCGGAGCATTTACATAAATGTATTCAAGAATAGGTATGGAAAATCCAACCAACTTCGTCTGCAATAATTTGTTCTTAAATGTTTAAGTCCATATTGGACAGAGCTGAAGATATAAGAGTTTGCAAGAAAGTGATAAAGATCCAAAGCACTCTTGGCAAAAGATCTCAAGCTGTTTGTCAGTCTAGCCACAAAATGCGCTCAATGTCCTTACAAACTTATCAAACTCCTTTGCATCTGTCTTCCTACATAATATTTTGTTTCTGTCTATCAATCGTCTTACATCTTTTTTCTTATCTTCATCATCATCTTTCATTCTTTACTTCCATGTCAGGCTAAAAATATCTCCGAGAAGCTCATTTGTGAGCCATTGAAGACAACTTATATTGATGATGAGCTTGATTTTCTCGATGATGATGATGAGGTGGTGAGGGAATTTGTGGAACGACAGGTAATGTAATAAAAGATTGAAATGGAAATTATCGTGCAGAAGCCAGAAGTGCTTGTTAGTCGCCACGTAAATATTATGAATGAACAATTTTTTCATCCTTCATTTACAGAAGAGGGGAGGCAGTGGATTGAGGACTGAATATTGCGACTTGAGACCTGAAACTCCATTTGATTATCCAGCGTTGAACAATGACAAGATTAAGACAGCAGCCCGGAAGGAGAATCATCATAGTCAAGTGCTAAAAACTACACATCCTCAAAAGAAACCTGAAAGAATCCAAAAAGGACAAAAACGTCCTGAACAATCAAGGCATCATGCAAGATCAAAGAGCCAAGAGGAATTAATCAGGCAACGATCGAAGTTGCCAACAGCTGAAGAATGTCGACCAACTTCTAAAGAATCAACAATGTCACTCGAAAATCTAGCCACACAAGTTGTCAAGAAAGTCAGCGACTATCAAGACAGAATTTGTAAATATTTGAGTCGTATTTATGACATAATTTGCGAGCCACACGAGTCTGATGATATTCATGATTTCAAAACACGACAACGACGTTCTGTTGAATTCACAAATCTCTTTGTCAGAAATCATCTTTATCAGATTGGACGTTTGGTGAGTAATTTATTATCTTGGCTTTTATTCCATTTCACAACTCCAAATAGTAAGGGGAGCTACTTTTGTTTCTTTTTTTGCATTTTGCTTAGTCCAACTATATTTCATTTTCTTATCACATTATGTCCATCAACTTCTTCTTTTTTCTCTCCTATTATTTCACTTTTACTTTCGATCTGAATGGGGTTTGTTTAGTAATGATGACAAACATTATTGACATGACATCGCGAAAGGGGGGGGGGGGGGCGCTGCTGGTTCTGCTGTTGATTGACATACTTAAAACAACGAACTATGGATACAATATTATGTCTTTAACTGTCTTTGGGGGGGGGGGGTCACTGTCGTGGGGGGGAGAGTATCTGGATCTGCTATTGATTGACATACTCAAAACAACGAACTATCGATACAATATTGTGCCTTTAACTGTCTTGGGGGCGGAGGGGTCACTGTCATGGGAGGGGGGGGGGTCACTGTCGTGGGGGGAGTATCTAGATCTGCTATTGATTGACATACTCAAAACAACAAACTATGGATACAATATTGTGTCTTTAACTGTCTTGGGGGGGGGGGGGGGGTCACTGTCGTGGGGGGAGTATCTAGATCTGCTATTGATTGACATACTCAAAACAACAAACTATGGATACAATATTGTGTCTTTAACTGTCTTTCTACTATAACTTTTGAAATATTCAATCACATTACTGATGGACGTCATTTACAAATCTCCCCCACATTTGCTCTACTTTATACATTTCATGTCGTTATCATCATTTCTTTTCCATTCTAATAGGCCGAAAATATTCGAGTAATGAACGGTAATCCAATAGATATCGTAACAAAAGTCAATTCCCTCTTCCATCTCATCCTGCAAGGCGTACAATCGTATCTCAAGAATCTCGAAGGTTTTATATACAACAACAGTCCCGACAAATTGCTTGTTCTCACTGAATATATCGTTAATGCAATAAAAGTATGTTTTGAACGTCAAGCATGCAGCATTAGGGACAATGGAATTATGGAAATATTAGGAGTTATCGATAATATTCGATACTGCTTAAAGAATTGTGATAAACGTGGCAATTTGCTTCCAGAATTTTATGAAGAAATGGAATATAAGAAGCAACAGAATGAGATGCAAATTGGAGATTTTGAGGGGCAACTTGATGAGAAGCAGCACAATTTTGAATATTCACACTCATTTGTGGATGAACAAGGTGATGGTCATAAAAATCAAAGACTAAAGTCTAGTTCGGATCATCATGGAATATTAAAGGAGTCAAGAGTTAATTCTAGGTTTAAAAATGAGTCAGTTCCTTCAGAAAAATTCAGAACTTTCAATAATGAAAATCAGCACAAAAAGTTGAGGACATTTAAAGATAACAGTCTTAACGACTATCAATTCCCAACTGATAAAATTTGGAACAATGAAGCAGAACAAATGATGATAAGATCACGTGGAAGTTCTGACCAGCCAAGCCAAATGAAAGTCATTCAAAAACGTCCAGCAATTAATAGAAAGTCTAAGAGTGTATCTCGTAACAATATAAATGGATATGCAGCAAAAAGTCCTTATGACATGCCAAGTAATCCTTATGGCATTCCAAAAATGAGGACAAAACCAAAAGCTGGTGTGAATCGATCAAACTTAATTTCAAGTAAGAGCAATGCTCATGGATCTCGACTCAATTCATCGAAAAGCTCAGTACATAATGGATTGCATCATGATCGTCGTATGTCTAATGGTAGTTCAGGCTTGCATCCTACAAAAAGTAGAGTTCATGGATTGGCTAACAACTCAAACCTTCAATCAGCAAAAAGCACAGTTTATGAAATCAAGAAGTCCTCATCTGATGTCAGCACTGTCTTGCAAAAGGAAATGGAAAAGGGTCGACTTAGTGCTATTGACGAAGAAGACAATGACTTTGATCAGCAATCAGAATGTGGTTCCAAAAAGTCATCAAAGCTTGAGTCGGAGAAAAAGTTAAAAGTTGATTTCGAGGACCATTCAAGATGCAGCTCTAGAAATTCAATGAAAAGTGACAAAAGTTTGCAAAAGGATTGCTTAAAGTCGCAAAACGATGACCGAAAAATCGATAGCACCAAGCCTGAAATTAACAATTTACTCTCAAAATTCATTGATATGTTCCAAAACCCCAACGACCCCGACGAGCTCATGAGACTTATACAAAATATGACAAAAGAAAAGTTCGAGTCAGTGATGAATCCATTGATTTTACAGCCAGCGCCAAGTAAAGATGCCAAAACTGAGGACATAAAGAAATCCGTTCGTCGTGTAAAAGCGGATGTTGAGCCATTAAAGAAGCAAGTAAGTGCCAATAAACAACATTCGATGGTTGAGCGTTTAGCACCAAATGTCCAGTACATGTTTGTTAAAAATGACAAAGACGATGATAGCGATGAAGAAGAAGTGGAAATGCCAAAGGCTATAGAGTCGACAGCATCACCGAAACCTTCGTCAATGACAAAAAAGTCTGAAGATAAAAAATTATTAAAGAGTGACAGCAGTGAAGTAAGTGAAGACATTGATGATGGCATGGACTTTAGTAAGTTTACACAGGATGAATTGAGAGAAATGGCAATTAAGGAACGTCTAAGACGTCATGAAAGAATCCAAAATCATCCTCTTTACTTTAATGAACAAATTGCCGAGCCGTGGACACTCTTTGGTCAAATCTCTGATCAAATTCTTGACGAATTACTTGAAAAAGCCATTAAGGACTTATTGACGGGATCTGATGTCACTGAAAAGGAACTTATGGAGAAATTTATTAAATCGGAGTTGACATGTTGATTTAAGCGTGGTTATGGAGTATTTTTTCCGTTGTTGAGTATTGAAGCAGCATGTTCTGTAGTTAAATTTTGATTATGCTTAATTTTCAGTCGTGGAAAATGGCAATAAAATTATTTTTGGAAATTATTTGTGCAATTTTATTCATTTAAGGAACAACCTGAACAGCACAAGTTGGATAATCGAATAGCAACCCGGTGCCAAGTCGAGTTGACTTTGGCATGGTGCTAGCTTTGATTGTAAGAGTCACACCGACTTGATGTTGGATTTTTAATTGATAAACCGACTTGGACCATTTGGGAAATATGTTCAGTAAGTCGAAACATTTTAATATGAATCAGTAAAGAAATCTTAAAAGGCTGTCACTTATCACCCAATGGGTTTTAATAAATGGAAGCTTAATCATAAGCACTTACCTCTAACCCTAAAATAATAATAATGTGTGAAGGGCCCAGCCTTTCAGCTGGAAGCACTAGGGTTTGGGGAACCTGTTAACAGAAAACAGAAAAATAGCTGTTTTTCGACAAAAATCTGTTAACAGAAAACAGGTCTCAAAAACAGATCTGTTTTCTGTTTTTCATTTTTACATATAATTTACAGAAAAAAAAATTCTTAATTTTTTGAAGAACTTAATATATTTTTCTAGCATTCCAAATTGAAATGTATTTACTACTTTAATATTTTTTGGTTGTTTAATAGGTTTGAAATCATTGTCAAATTTATGGTTAATCATTATCAGGGTGGGGGAGTTTTTTGCGATTTAAATCAAAATCACAAAATCAAATTGTCAAATCTTATGCAAAAAACAGATTTCAAATTGGTTGCGGGCATTGCTGAGAAAAAAAAGCAAAAAAATGCTTTCTGTAGTTGTTCTAGGGGCGACCCTAGTCAAAATCAATTTTGTCACTTTTTTCTTCGAGGGTTTATCCAAATAGATTGAAACTTTGCATAAATATTTAAGTGTTTAAAACAAATACAAATAAAACATCCTAAAATTTTTTTGAGCAAGGAACCAAGTAGGAAATACATTTTCAATTTTGGACTAGGGGCGACCCTAGTCAAAATCAATTTTGTCACTTTTTTCTTCGAGGGTTTATCCAAATGAATTGAAACTTTGCATTAATATTTTAATGCTTAAAACAAATACAAATAAAACATCTTAAATTTTTTTGAACAAAGAACCAAGTAGAAAAAACATTTTAAATTTTGGACTAGGGGCGAACCTAGTCAAAATCAATTTTGTCACTTTTTTCTTCGAGGGTTCATCCAAATGGATTGAAACTTTGCATTAATATTCTAATGCTTAAAACAAATACAAATAAAACATCTTAAATTTTTTTGAACAAAGAACCAAGTAGAAAAAACATTTTCAATTTTGGACTAGGGACGACCCTAGTCAAAATCAAGTTTTTCACTTTTTTTCTTCGAAGGTTTATCCAATTACAGTGAAACTTTGTGTGAGTATACTAATATTTATACAAAACAGTTTTCAATATCTAAAGCAAGAAATGTATTCTAAAGCATATACATTCAAAAGCAACGAGACCTAAAATTTTGTCCCAAAAAAATGATTTTTATTAATTCAGAAATGTGTGACCTGAGGATTAGAATGCTTAAACATAGATTTACTGTATTTGGATTTATCCTCGAAGAAAAAAAGTGACAAAATTGATTTTGACTAGGGTCGCTTCTAGTCCAAAATTGAAAATTGATTTTCTATGGTGTACTTTGGTCAAAAAAATTTTAGGATGTTTTATTTGAATTGACATAATTCGGACATAAATTACATACCAATATTCCTTTTTTGGAATGCATAGCTAAAAAAAATCGAAATCTAAAATTTCGACTACCCCACCTGAATCTTGTTCATACTCTTCACTGTGGAAACCAAAAAATAAATTCTTTATCTTAAAACACTTGACAAAATAGCGACATGATTCAGGATTAATTACTTTTTAATAATATTTTAATATTTACGAGAAAATGTGGTTCAAATAAGTGTGAAGTATGGCCGAGATTTGGACCAAAATCAGCTATACTGGTCCATAGTGTTCCCGAGGGTGACAAAATTCAAACTAAGTGTTTTTGTAGCTTACATAAATATGACATAAATTAGGTATAACTTTTGAACTGTGTCGATATGGGTCTCGGCCGTACTTCATGCCCACCCTTCAAACTTATGCTGAGCAAATCTTGGTCTATCCATAAGACTTTTGATGGTACGGTGTGAATATATCCGCATTGGGTTTCTACCCGATACACTAGTTTTGTTTCTTTTTAATTAAGGAATTACATCCACGAACAAAAATTTTTTTTGAGGGACCGGCCGATTCCTTTAGTGCCTGAAGACTGAAAATGTGAACTTTTAAGTCATTTAAGAATGAAGCACCACAGAAAATGAAAATTCATGAACTAAATCATGGAATCAATGGTTGCTGTCATTTTTCCATTACCAGAAAGGAAATCCATGATTTATGATTAATGACATGTAATAACCATCTGAAAAATTCTTAACAAATTTTCAACTTCAAGTGATTTAAAATCCCAAAAAAATCCCCATACAATGTGATTTAAATCATAAATCACAAAAAAAACTTTCATGCAAAATGATTTTGATTTTGATTTATGATTTAAATCCCCATCCTGATCATTATTAATTTTGCAATCAAAATTTTAAATTTGTTGATCCATTTGTAGCATTTACTAAAGTTCAAAAATATAATCAAAAATTTTACAAGATAATTTTTTATTCAGAAAGATTTTTTGAATATTTCAAATAAAATATTAGTTTATGGAACCTTTACAATGCAACAATGCAATGTTACTTAAAAGTATAAATTATTTTTTTGCATTTTTATATTTCATTATATTTTTTGAGTTAATTAACAAAAAAATTCTGAAATAATAATGCTAAGCTCTAAAATGTATGCTTAACTGCTTATAAACACCAAAAAGTTTCATTATCTTAGAGAAACACTTAGGATAACTCAGTTTATTTTGAATTCTAGAAAAACAGGAAAACAGCTGTTTAAAAAAAACCGAAAACAGACTATTTTTCAAAAACAGCTGTTTTCCACAAACCCTAGGAAGCACTGTGATTCAATTTTGTAAAGAAGCTATTGTACCACAGCTCTAACCCTAAACTGTAGTTATATCTCGTGCTCTGGTAAGTGCACCAATGAACTGTAGATCTCCCTATAACTGCCATATGTGTATACAAATGTAAAACAAGTCGTGTTCGATGTGAATCGAACTAACGACCTCAAAAGAGACGATCTTTGACTACTCGATCAGAGATCCCTGCCACTCAGCCAACGAGGTACTTATCTTACTTTGGCTATCGTCATACACATATAATCAGCTTCACGTGATAGCTATGCGCAGGCCTATCTACTGCAGATATGCTCTTCAAGCCATATCCACATAAACGTTTTTGCGTTTATCTTGGACTGTTCTGATTCAAAGCTTGGAAAATAAGAATTAATATTATTACGTCCGTGTTCCTTTTGTTGACTAATTTAATTAACCTGTGACTTTACTTCGTTTTTTTTGGACTAGGTTAGGTGTCCTCAAAAGCTTGAAAAACTTGTCTTAATAATAATGTGAGAGGTATCCAGCCAATCGGTGTGTTACTACACATTTCGACGAGCTGAAGACACTACGATCCTGATCGTTACTGAACTAGCCTTAATTTATTAAAGGAAATCATATCCGGATAAAAAATCAAGAATCTCCTGTAACATATTCGCAGGCTGTTCACATAATCCAGTGACTCAAAGTCCTGCACTGTCTCTTAAATTACCTCACGTCATCCACTTCTGTGAATTGCAAATTTATAGTCAATCCTTATCCAGTAAATTCTAAGCAGCTATTAAGCCATAAAACTCTTGTCTTCTCGTAAAATTTTGCCATAGTTTACAATAGACAAATTAATGACTCTCACCACTCATGTAAATTGTGCCTTAACAACATCTGTAAGTTGGCATTAAATTACGACTTCCGTATATATTTGAGGACGAAGACACTCATATCGAAAATAGTAAATTTAGATATTTATCCTCAGGGAAGGAAAATGAAAATTATTCGTTTTGCGTGTCGTGCCTGAATTATATCCTAGTAGTAGTTAATTATGCCTCCATCTCAAAAATATTTATAAAGTTGAAAGTATCATCATCATCAAAGTTTTATTATCTCATTTCATATGATTTAAGTTTCTATGAGAATCAAAATGTGTCTCTGTGGTAAAATTTTGTCAGCTTTAATGACATTTTAAGGATCGCTTCCGACAGCTTTTTTTCTCTCTCTCAATATTTGTGTCTGAAACTGGGCTACTTACTGCATGGAAATAAAGATGTAAATTACAAAAATTTGTTTTATGCCGAAGGGGCATCACACGGAAAACAGATAAAGTTTCGTAATCTCATTTCCCATTTCGACTCACTCCATTTTACAGGCATACCCTTGTAGTCCTGGCATTTGTTTCCCTTCCATCTGTTTTACTTCTCTATCTCATTTATCTGTTCGTTCCCTGTGTGTTATTTACTCTCCTCATACTTAGCTATTGTTGAGGGATTTTTCTTCTTCTTCTTTAACTTGTTTTGGGAGTACTTGAGGTACTTGTGCCCTTGTGTGGATTTCGGGAAAATTAAAAGATTTTGCATTTTCAAAGAAATAAAATTTAAAAAAAAGCAAAAAAGAAGAACTTCATCCGTGATTGCTCCCAGAGAGATTTGAACTCTCGACCGCTAGTTTACAAGACTAGCGCTCTGCCCCTGAGCTATAGGAGCATTTTATCACATGTTTTGCAGCCTGAAATATATGCAATCTTAAATTTATACCTCTGCGAAAGAAAAAAAAAATTATCAATCACATCCGAAATTTTCTTCTTTTTCTAATGGGGCCGTTCACTTATGACGTCCAGGGGGGGGGGGGGGGTCAAAAGGAAAAGAACAATAGAAATTCCTGGAAATCCATTGTTCTTTTTTGAAAAATGACCGTTAATATTGGACGTCATAATTGAACGGACCCTAAAATAAATCCCACAAAATCTCCTCAAAGGTTGTACCAATTATTTCGTAAAACTTTTTTTTACACCAAAAAGGGACATCTCGTTGAACTTCTT